AATTCAGTAAAATATTGTTCATTTTTCGACTTAATAAACATTGTTCTTATGGAAATAGCTATTTATGATATGAGTGTTGAAAGTAAGGTTTTATTTTGTGAGTGAAAAAGTTTGCGAAACGAGCGTAGCGAGTTGAGCAATTTTGATGGTAAATTACTAACAATATAAAAATGGAGGGATTTCAATTGCCCAGGCAAATTGAATAAAAAAACGCTTCAACACCTGCGCACTAATTTATGTTGATATCTTTTGAAATGAGTGCATTTTATAATTATACTGGGTGTCTCAAAACAGTATGTACTTGCTCGAGATGTCGTTTATTTCGATACATATGAAAAAAATTCTAAATAAAAGTTATACACCAGCAAGGGGAATAACCCTTCGTTTTTCACCCAGCACTAGTTTGTTTTCAAACTACAATACGCCTGTGTCAAGTTATAAGATCCTTTTTTTGGGAGAAATAGAAACTATTGCTGCAGATTCTGAATGAAATCGATATAATTCAGGTTGTTCTTCAAATATTGTCTGGTGGAATGACGTAGATAACATCAAAGTAGGTTTTAAATAGGCTGCTTCAAATGTTACTTTGATCTTCAGTCGCAGGATAAAATAATTTGCTGACCAAAAAACTCCACCCAAATAGAACCTTTCTGATTCGAATAACACGCTTATATTGGAAAACGCACATGAATTTCACTTGATATTGATACCACCCAACAATACACCCTTATATAGGGGAGGTTTACTCTCGTGATTTTTCAAAATATTTGGCGAACTGAGGCATTCCCATCGAAATATTTCAATAGGTATATATTCAATATTTTAAATCACTTGATGCGATAGTGTTGCCACCAATGAAACACATTGAATCTACCCCTTTCAATGAGTAGTTTACTGTTGTGATTTTTCATGATATCCTGCCGACCAAGAGTTTCCTATCGGAATGATTTCATATTTCTTCATTAAGTTATTATTGCCATTGATCAAAATATTTCAAAATCACAATTTTAAACTATCCTTTGAAAGGGGTTGATTCAACTTTTCTCATTGGTGGTAATAATAACATGAGAAGTCAGATGAAAATAGGGAGTTTGGTCGAATTATTCCAATGAGAAGGCTTTGGCCAGCAGAATATTTCGAAAAATCACAATAATAATAATACAAATACAAATAGAAACAGAAATACTCGAGGGTATAACTGTGGCACCCCCGGAAACCAGAGGCACAAGGTCACCCATCTGTTTTATATGGATGATCTTAAACTTTATGCCTCTGGAGAGACGGATCTCCATCAGTCCTTGAGGTTGGTGGAAGAGTACACGCATGCTATCGGTATGAAATTCGGGATAGACAAATGTGAATATATACATGGGAAATAATAAACAAACTTCTAAATAAACTTATAATAACCTTGAGAAGTGAAACTTGTGCCAAGGTAAGTCATAAAAAAAGATACATCTTTATAATATTCATATACAAAGTACATGAACATATGTGAAAAAACGAAAATAACAAATTTAAAATATATTCTCAATAACAATATATGAAATGAATAAAATTATTCAGAAATGTAGTTGATGAAATGTATATCATGATTTACACACAGGCAGATCATTTTGCCTCGTAAAATGTATTTTATTTGTTTACTTTTCATTTCTATATGTACATGTATATTTACTATATCTTAAGAAAGTGAATGAATACATATTATATTTTTTTTCCCCGAAGTGTGCGCTGGTCAGGCCCTATCCCCCGAAGCCCCGATACATTCGAGAGGGCGCGCCAGCATTATAAACCAATCACCACTCCCCACACCGTCGGGTAAGTGATCATTGGGTCCGAGACTCATGTGCCCTGAGCAAGCGCAGTGACCCAAGAATGATAGCCTTCTGCATCTGTGCGGCTAAGATTTCTGCTTTAGTGCGGCAAGCCGGAAAGATTTTAAGATTTGAGAGTAGAGAGGGTATCCATCCACCAAGGACTGCAACAATCAGAACAACCATCTTGACAGAGTGGTCTGGATAGAGTCTGCGGAGTTCGAAGAGAAAATTTCAATATTTTATCCGTTTTTCCTCCTCTTTTCGGATGATAATCGCCCCGCCAGGAGCTGTCACACCATGACAAATATCGTCTTGCTCTGGTGGTCGAAAAGGACTACATCAGGCTTATTAGCTTGTGTAAGGGTGGGGAACGAATAGTTCCAATAAATTCGACACTTCTCGTTCCCCACAACGGATTCATAATCACCCGGAGCGTAGGGCAATACCGGTGTCTCGTCAACACCGTAAGAGTGCCGTAGATGGTAATATAGCACTCTTAGGGCCGCGTTATGTCGATGGATATAGGCCGAGACCGCATATGCTGGACAAACTGATAGCGAGTGCATTAGGGTCTCGGGCGCCTCGCGGCAGGCCCTGCACCTTGTGTCAGGAACCTCTATACCCATCACGCGATTGCGGTAAACTAAGGTGATGAAGACACCATCCTAGCAAGCCATGATGAACCCCTCAGTTTACGACTACAGCCCACTCGACCTGAGGAAAGCGAAAGTCAGGCGCTTTGATAAGCCAAGGTCTCCAATGTTATTGAAGAATACCTCATGCATTGGCTTATCCTTGTGTTTCCGCAGAATTGAGGTGATCTCTGCGGCTTTTATCTGCTTTACAGGCTATATCCAGTACCATTCTGTCACGTAGACACTCCAAACTCAAAAGTCCACGGCCTCCCTGCTGTCAAGGGAAGTACAAACGTGGAACAGAAGGTTTGGGATGCAAACTCCTATAGAGATGTATCATTTTTCGGGTCTTTACGTCGAGTTGATACAGCTCCTCCCGAGTCTACTTCACTCAAACGAGTAGAGTAAGATTGGAACGGCAAGCATATTTGTTGCAGCAACTTTGTTCTACCCCGACAGTTCCGATGACCTGATCTGTCTGAGTTTGTGCTGATACTTGCCGCGGAGAGAGTTCTTCACTGCTGTTACCTTTTGTGAATGACGTTGTTCCACCCCGAGGTAATTATACGTCTCTCCGGCATCCAGATGGTGTGGGATGCTTTCATCTACGAGCTGCTCATCCTCTCCGTAGTCCCTGCATCGTCCTCTTTTGAGATGGACCAATGCACATTTGTCTATCCCGAATTTCATACCGATAGCATGCGTGTATTCTTCCATCACTCTCCAGGACTGATGGGAGATCCCTCTCTCCAGAGGCATAAAGTTCAAGATCATCCATATACAACAAATGGGTGACCTTGTGCTTCCGGTTTCCGGGGGTGCCACAGTTATACTCTCGAGTATTTCTGAGTGCAACGGATAATGGCAATAGTGAGATGCAGAAGAGAAGGGGACTGAGGGAATCGCCCTAAAATACACCCCTTCTGAAAGTGACCTACCCTGTTTGGACACTGGCTTGACCAGATGTTATGGTGAAGCGAGTTCGCCAGAGTGGTATCTGTTGTTCAGTGCATCTCACTATTTTGTCGGGTACCGCAAGGCATCTGAGCAAATTGCAAGATGAGCTCATGCGATATTGTATCAAATGCCTCACGGTAATCGGGTGGTTAGCCCTGTAGGCCCACGGCCGGCACCGAAGGGAGAATAGAGTTGTCTTTCCCGGGTGCGCCTGGGCTGCCGGTCCGGTTTTGCACCAGTTGCTCGGGTAAGTGGTGTCGCAACTCACCAAAGGCCAAGGGTGTTAGTATTCATCCCTGCTTATTCATTATTATTTTCTTTAATTTTTTTTCACCGTAGTGTGCGCTAGTCAGGCCCTATCCCCTGAAGCCCCGATACATTTGGGAGGGCGCGCCAACATTATCAACCAATGACCACTTCTCATACCGTGGGGATCATTGGGTCCGAGAATCATGTGCCCGGAGCAAGCGTAGTGAGCCAAGAATGACAGCCTTCTGCATCTGTGCGGCTAAGATTTCTGCCTTAGTGCGGCAAGCCGGTATGATTTTAAGATTCGAGAGTAGAGAGGACATCATTCCACCAAGGACTCCAATAATTAGAACAACCATCTTGACAGAGTGATCTGGATAGAATCTGCGGAGTTCGAAGAGAAAATCTCTATATTTTATCCGTTTTTTCTCCTCTTTTCTGACGATATTCGTCTCGCCAGGAGCTGAAAACCACGACAAATATCGTTTTGCTCTGGTGGTCGAAAAGGACTACATCAGGCTTATTATTATTATTATTTATTGAAATTCATTATATCTTGGAAAAATTAGTGAAGTCCCTTTTATCCATTCTTTAATTTCATTTTCATATGAAAAAATTATGCAAAGACTGCACTACAAGACATTTAAGTGTGTCTATCATATTGCCTCTTGTATATCATCAAATTTCCTCAAGGTTTGTGAAAATCTTGTGAAATACACAAATAATCGCAACTGTTAGGAGCACGAATAATATATTGCTAACCTTAGATAGGCAATTTCATATAATGTTCATTCGCAATAATTGAATAAACTTGAAGTGGGCGAAAATCAAAATAACTTTGTAAGCATTCTGTATGCAAATATCATAATAATCATCAGGGCTATGTCGGTGTTCCCTAAATCACTTTCCCAGTCACTTTGATCTTACAAAAAAACAGCCTAATTATTGACTCCCTATTAATTCCTTAATTGATCACTTCGAACAGTCACATCCTGCCTTTATTTCCTTTTAGTATTCATAGTTTCGTGAGGAATTATAAATGAAAAAGTTTAAAAGGTTGAGATGACAAAAGATTGGTGAAGTAAGATTTTTGAAACCAAGGTACTTGAAGCCTATATTAATTCCATGGACACCAATCGAACGATTGTAACCTTTATAATGTACAATCAATCTATTTTGTTTCAGGTAACGAGGATGTTGAGAGCACAGAACCCGAAAGGCAAGAAGCCGTCAGTATGCCACATATCCCAATAACGAACCCTACCTTTAGTTATAAGCATCCTGCTTACCAATCTGCCCATCCCCAGATCGGTTCCGAACCAGTAGAACCGGGACCGTCGAACAAATCGACTAGCAAGACTGACGATGGCACCTTGAAGAAACGCAGAAATACTGTTCAGCAAGAAGATGTTGAAACCAAGTCCAGCCAGATTGCTCATCCGATGCCAATGAAGGAAGAATACGAGGTAAACAATTCATTTTCACCCATATATTTATAACTAGCGACTCGCCCCGGCTTCGCATTTCGCACGGGTGCAATGCTGATACTGAATATACTACAGAATGCCTTTATATACAACCTACATGCAAACATGTTTTCTGAAGAGGTTACTCTTGAAAGAGTTTCATATAATTCGCGCGGTACCGCCGCAACGGCTATATCCCTGCATTTTAAATCTGTAATATCTTCGAAAATATTCATTCAAATTACATACTGTGAGGGGCCATATTGTTCACATTATGGACAGATAAGATAAAGGATAAATTTAAAAAAAAATATGAACGCACCTTTTTTTCCGGGAGCTGGCGTCTTACTTGAAAAATCCTGCTTTATTGCACATCTGGAATATAAAACGAACCTACATACAGAATTTCAGCCTCCGAAAATATACCGGTATAGAGAAACAGTGATGAAACAGTAATTTTCATCACTGTTATTTGAAAATATTTTCTTAGTGCGCATAAAAAACCTAAGAAACACCTATATATCAAATTTTACCTTTCTATGACTTACCAGTACGAAGAAATAGAGATGAGTGTGTAAATTTCTGAACAAATACATAGAAAGGAAATAAAGAATCTACAGAATATTTTATTAGAAATTATGAAACAAATCTCCAGTAAAATGAAAAGGATCTTTCGTGAATAAAAAAAAATAATTTTCATATTACAATGAAAATCATTATTCAATAAGAATTGGTCAATGATGTATGGCCTTATTACCTCTTTTTCCCCATCTATTTCGTGCCATCCATGCCAACACATCCATTGTGGTTCTCTGCAGTGGTTTGTACAGGTTCTTTGGAGCATAATGTAGGTTTTTTCAAAGCTATTTTCCGAGTTTCTTAGTCAGATCAAAATCTCAAAGTATTTTATTCCAAATATCAAAGTCATAAGAAATAAAAATGAGAAAGTTATGGAAAAATGGAATACAATCACTGAAAAGTGATGTTCAAATTACACGATTGTCCTTATAAAAGTTATTAGGAATCAATTATCATTATAATTAGTCTAGTGACACAAAATCAAATTTTTCGGTAGGTTAACTAACGGGAGCAAAATTACGACTTCAAACTCGAAATTTTGACTTACTCGAAATTATGATTTCAAACTAGAAATTACGACTTTAATCTGGAAATTACGACTTTAATCTGGAATTTACGACTTTAGTTTCCAAATTACAACTTTAACCTCGCATTTACTACTTTAATTTCGCATTTACTACTTCAATTTCAAAATTATGACTTCTATCTCGAAAATGTCAATTTAATCTCGAAATTACAACTGTATTTTTGAAATTACTACTTTAATCCCGCTATCGTTACTTTAATCTCGAAATTACGACTATAAACTCGAAATTACGACTTTAATCTCGAAATTGCGACATTAATCACGAAACTACGACTTTAATCTCAAAATTACGATTTCATTCTCGAAATTACAAAATGAAAATCGAAATTTCGAAATGTCAAAGTTGCAAGTTCCGTTGCTTCCGCAGTTCAACAGTTGAATATACATTTTATTCTGAATTCAGTCAAAAACATTAAACGGTAATCAGTAGTTATATAAAAAACGCGATCAACAAAGTTTCAGAAAACTCTGCGCTTAAATTTCTGTCTGCTCTTAGATGTTCATTAATAACAGGTAAATATGAAAAACTCAACTTCTCTCTTGTTTCAATTCTGCACGTTAATACTTTTCAGGATCACCTTTGATACGATATCACCCCCTTTTTTCAAGTTTCACTCTTCCTTTTTTTTTCAAGATATGTTGTTATTGCGAGGTGGTAGCCAGTAAAAAAAAACAATTAAAATTACCTACATACCCATGTTACTAAATAGATAAAAACATTTTCTGAAACTACTAATTGATATCGTCACAACTATGGATAACGATCACGAAAGAAGTACCATAAATTCTATGACTGTGACCAGTTTGAACCGCATAACCTCAATTCTGTTTCATCTATACTATCTATAGTGTTGTTGATTACCAAGATATATGAGAAATCATGCATACCTAATATATGTAATGGATGAAAGTAAATAAAAAATTACTCAATTATTATAACCACGGTATGATATGGTATGTTCCACAAAATCCAAGAAATGCACAATAAAAACCGGGCTGACAAATTAAATTAAATTCAAGTATTTTTCTACATAATTAAAGAATGAGCCATGGTATTATAGGAAAAACAATCTCAACTTTCACAGCATTCATTTTTTAACAAGAGTTTGCAATTTAGGAATAAAATTAAAGTTTGTATTAACATCGGACAAAATCAACAACATGTGAAATTAAAGGTATTGTTACGTTTTCCCCGTGGGTTTGACGATAATTGACTACATTGTACAATTAAACTCAACTTCATTTCACGGCTACACTGACAATATAACACAAACATTTCAACTGAAACTTTACACTAATACTCGAATGTCTATCGCCTCATTAGATCACTTCGTACCGCACTTTCAACTAAACTTATCGATCTGCGTGTTGGTAGTGCTTATATATGGCCTTTGGAAGCCGATAGCGAAGTCGCTGACAGTATCTCGAAGCGACACGACATCTAGAATGATCGCGAAGCGCAAGTCGAGTTGAGCGCAATCTTGGACATAATCGATTTACGAAGGCCAGCGGCGGACGGCGTTATTTTTTAGGGGGTGATTAACAACAGTATAAACGAGATATTTTTAGCACAGAAAATGCATTTCTTCATATCTGATTTGTTTAATATTGTAATGAAGTTATCATTATGATTATTTCTATATGTTTTCTAAAGAATAGAATGATATATATATTTACTTTCAGAAAGTGGTTATGTAACAATTTTTGGTGAGAATAAGAATGACGGGTTTAAAAGTTGATATTTTTCGTAGGTTCTTGCTATCGAATTGAACAGAGGATGGAACAGTAGACTGGGATTCAGTTTACAGGGCGCAGCGGGGGTGACCTATGTCAGCGCAGTGCATGCCGATAGCGTGGCTGCCAAAGATGGCAGATTGAAGCCAGGAGATCGACTAATCAAGGTTAGTTTATACAATGTACATCATTCACTTCTGGGTCGTTCAATATTTCAGTAAAAAAAACGACACACTTTTGTCTTGTGAAGATCACAAATTTTTATTTTCCATTTGGTCCGTCTTACTTTTACAACTGACTCATCTTCAGTTGAAACTTAATGTTTCATCACGCGGAATAATGTTGCAGCCTAATTCTTGCTCGATTCACAACGCAAATATAATGCGTTCGAATCCTTCTTCTCTACCGAGTATTTCTTTAGTCGAAATTCGGTTGATTCTGCTACGATAGATGACTGAAGGGACTACGATTAGTCATGAGCTGTTTAGATTGCTCGAGAATCATCAACATAACCTACAGAGAAACGAAGCTAATAGTGACCATAGTTATCTATGTCGAATACAACAAAGGACACAACATTCTTGGCACTAGTCTGTCAAAGTGAGGTTAGTTTGCTATATTCACAAATATTGGAGAGGTTGCAAAGAACACAATTTTCCTAACTTCGTCGAAGCAATTTTCTAGGGTTCTGGACCATAGTCTGAAGTTTTTTATGCCTAACAGCACATACTACATATCTGGTTTGAGTCTACGGTTTTATTCCGTTGTCGGTGGATTACTTCCTATTGGTTTAATTCAATTTCCTATACAGTTTGGTGCAGGTAACCAGACAATATTGATGTGAATTATCTCTTCCTTTCAAAAAAGCTTTCTTGCCCTCGTGAAAAATGTTTACAGACACTTATTGGTGAATTCTGGAAAAACAACGTGAAATTGATATTCAGCCCAAAGATATCAGAGAAAGGTCTAAGGTCAGATAAGGATCCCAGATACATTAAGCTCAGAATATAAATGATTTAGAATGGGTTTTTTTGTGCTTGATTTGACTGTAATATATACCTACACTTGTTTATTGAAACACTGTCACATCAGTCTCCTGGTCCTCTGAGACTCGCCAATCTCGTTCATGAATTTGACATTGGAGAAAATATTGATGCTGCTGTCCATACAACATTTTTTACCTAAATGAACAAGACGCATCTAGATATATCTTATTACTTTAAGACATTTAGCAACACTCGGGATATACCAGATCCCTTGTAGCTATGCTCTGGTTGTTCTCAAAACACAGAGTGCAGTATTGGTTTTATTCTATTGGTGGTGGGAGTGGTAGTTCCTATTGGTTGAATTAAATAACCTGCTACAAGAGCAGTTAACTACAGGTAGACAGATTATATTAATGTGGATTCCTGTTTTCGGAAATTTCTTATAGTCTTGGAACACTCTGAGTTGTATCAAGTACTTTTCAAACGTAATAACCGGAGTAGCCAAGTGCAAGTTACGCTACCGCTGATTTGTCAGTATCTGTTTTGAGGAAAACCAGAATACTACCGCAATCGAGAATGAATCGTCAGACATTAAACATATAGATCACTGTCTACAAATCCGGAAAACAGAAATAATAATACTTTTATTTCAGATCGAACAGATTTGATTAAGTTGACGTAGTACTATTAGCTTTATAGTCGAATCAAATCATTTTGACAATTGTTTCTAGACATGTTATCACTTTCATTTGAAATGAGGAATCAAAAAATGTATTTTTTATGAAAGAACTTGAAAAGGAAGCAGTAGATAAGGATAGATAGAGTTGAAATTTTCATTTTTTTTTTGTTTCAGGTTAATGATGAAAGCATTGAACATATGACGACTAGCGAAATAATAGATTTACTCCGAATAGTTAGGGGTCCAGTATGTATTGTTGTTTCAAGAGTCAAATCTAATGAAGACTGTCCAAAAAGCAATGCGGAGAATTGAGCAACTGTAGTACAATTTTTTATTCTAAGAGCGTCTATCAAACATACTCTTCGTTACATTGAAAGCGTTGTTTTTGTTCCTCGGTTGTTTTATTTTCGACACTTCCCCTGTATTATTTTTGTATCAACATAAGAGAAGAAAATCCTATTTGGGAAGTGTTAATTAAATGAGTCAAATCATAAATACAGAGTGATCCATTCTTCCGAAAGTGATTTTGAGAAACTTCTTCGATGTAGATAGATAGCAAACTCTATACGTAGACTGATCTTTGCGAAGAATGGGCTGCCATGTTTTCACCGTAGTTTTAACGAAAAAAAAATTATTAGAATCAATGTGTAAAAGTAGGTTCAATATGCAGTATTCAATTTCAATTATAATAAAATAATACATTTAATGAAATTACTTACATTCTAAATTTTTGCCTCAAATAGGAAATGTGTTATTTTTTGTAAAAACGTAAATCAAAGTTTATGAAATCTATGAAACCTAGCAATATTAAGAGATAAATGAAGTAGTGTTAATACACCTATATATGTTTCACAGCATTTCGAAGTTATACATTCGAGTAAAATTTCAGAGAATTATTGTACAGTAAATAGATTTTTTAGGAATCCATGTTTTGATTTGAAACCAAAGACAGGTGAAAATAAATATCGTTGAATTCGATTTTGCTTCATTTTCAAACCCCGCAAAAGTATCTCTCGTCCTTCATTCATTCCTGTTCAATTTAAAAAACCCAATCTTCTAAACAAAGGAAATTTTATAATTTATTGTGAATTTTACTTTCATTTCTGACAAAATATATACTTACGTCCTTCCTCTCGGTATTACTGAGTAACTAACTCAGTCGATGCAGCTGAGATTAATATATTATTACTTAGCATAACGTCGTAGTTTGCGAGTTACATCATCTATCGCGATTTCAGAAATATTTTTAGTTCGGCTTTCAAAGAGCGGAAAGTGGTTTTCTGACTGCAGTGTGTAAAAGGCAAATCAATTTTCCAAAACGCTAACAGGTGGCACCACTAACAGATAGTAGTGGCTTGTTCAGTTCTAATAAATAAAGTATCACTCTTACGATATCGTTAGTCAGGGAAGCTCTAGATTATGCTGTAGATGACCCCTCCTGATGCAGAAGGCCTCAACACTAAACCGAGTGAGGTCCTCATTTCGGGGACAGGTGAATAACTTTTTCACCTAGCACCAGGAAGGGGTACACCATGATAGGCAGTACGGATGTCTGAAGACCTTTACATTCATGAAAGCTTCAGAGAGGTGTGCTTCGTTTTTCTCTCTGACGAACAACATGCTAGTAGGGTAAGGGAGCCGCGCTACACACCTAATGAAATCACGATGGCAATCGGACAACACGACCTTTATGGATGCAGTATTTTGTGGAGTGTCTTCAAAATTTTCGATTATTATACAGTTATTGTAAATTATACTTTTGTTCCCTTGTAGCGGTCCTCTGACTGCAGTGCGAAAATGGAGATGACTATCGCAAAATCCAACAGATGACTCCACTTACAGATAGCATCAGTTTGCTCAGTTCAAATAGATAAGTTATTATACTTAAAATGGGAAGGTGGGAGGGATACAACAATTCTCCTAGAAACATCACCTATTTTCATGCATTGATGGATCATGTGTTGAGGATTGATATTCTATTACAAATTTTTCGATTACTATATACATTGTACATTTTACTTCCATTCCTAAAGAGATATGCATCCCTCCTGGTCTTTGAAAAACTTATTGAATCGAGCGTGTTGAAATATAAACATTATTACTAAGCGCAAAATCGTGATCTTTAAGTTACGCCATCTGGCAGTTAATTTCAAAAAGTTCATTAAATATTTATTTCAAACCGCAAAAAACGATCCTTTGACTGCAGTGCGAAAATGCAGATGAATTTCGCAAAAAGCCAACAGATGACTCCACTTACAGGTAGCATCAGTTTGCTCAGTTTAAATAGATAAGTTATTATACTTCAAATGGGAAGGTGGGAGGGATACAACAATTCTCTTAGAAACAACACTTACTTTCATGCATTGATAAGATGTATACATGTGTTGAGGACTGATGTGAGGTTGATATTCTATTACAAATTTTTTTAATACTATACAGTTATTGTAAATTTTACTTTCATTCCTGGAGAGATATTCATCCATCCTGGTCTTTGAAAAACTAATTGAATCGAGCGTGTTGAAATATAAACATTATTACTAAGCGCAAAATCGTGATCTTTAAGTTACGCCATCTGACGGTTAATTTCAGAAAGTTGATTGAATATTTATTTCAAACCGCAAAAAACGATCCCTTGGCTGCAGTGCAAAAATGCAGATGAATTTCGCAAAAAGCCAACAGATGACTCCACTTACAGGTAGCATCAGTTTGCTTAGTTCAAATAGATAAGTTATTGTACTTCAAGTGGGAAGGTGGGAGGGATACAACAATTCTCTTAGAAACATCACTTATTTTCATGCATTGATATGTGTTAGGTGACTGATGTAAGGTTGATATTCTATTACAAATTTTTCAATTACTATATAGTTATTGTAAATTTTACTTTCATTCCTGAAAAGATATGCATCCCTGATAGTCATTGAGAACCTTATTAAATCGAGCGTGTTGAAATATAAACATTATTAATCAGCGCAAGTTCGTGATCTGTAAGTTACGCCATCTGACGTTAATTTTAGAAAGTTCATTGAATATTTCTTTCAAACAGCAAAAAGCGGTCCTATAACTGCTGTGTGAAAATGCAGATGATTATCACAAAAAGCCAACAGATGACTCCACTTACATTTAGCTTCAGTTTGCTCAGTTCAAATAGATAACTAAGTTATCATACTTCAAATGGGATGGTGAATTCGTTTAGTAACACCACTAATAATCATACAATGATGGATACCGAAGTTGAGAATTGATTTTTATTATTATACGGTTACTGTAACTCCACTTTTATTTCTGAAGGAAATATATATGCATCCCTCGTGGTCTCTAAGGAACTAATTAAACCCCACATGCCACGGTTAATGTGTGCAGAACATCCCATATCGTCCATCCACCCCCGCTCCTCCGGAGCGGTCCTCAACTTACTGATGGGCACTTCAGCAAGATGGACATCTCACCTTCTTTGGTCAAAATTCAGCCGCTAGGTGCTTTTACTTTCAGATCTGTTGATTCAATTGACGTAATCCATCTTGAGTTTATTCAGTTGATCCAATTGAATCAAGCGTGTTGAAATGTAAGTATCATTACTAAGTGCATAATCGTGTTCCTTAAGTTACGCCATCTGACGTTGATTTCAAGAAGTTCATTGAATATTTCTTTTAAAGATCAAAAATCGGTTCTCTGACTGCAGTGTGTTGAGGACCGATTTATGTTGAGGATGTTTATTTCAAAATTACTGATTATGATCTAGTTATTGGAAAATATATTTATATTTCTTAGATTTACCCCCCTTTTTCTCTCATAAATTGAGTAGATCGAAAGTAATGAGATTTTTTCATACATCATTATTAGAATAAAATTGAAGTCTGAAAGTTACGCCATCTAACGTAGATTTCAGGAAATTCCTTGAATATAGATTCAAAAAATGGAAAGTGTTTCTCCGAATGCCTCGCAAATAACAGATAATTTTCCCAAAAAACAACAAATGGCTTTTCTAACAAATATCAGTGGCTTGAAATCATATTGAACCAGATTTACATCATCCGATGGTGTGTCGGGAGGTGCTAAACCAGAAACTTCTACTCTGTCTTGACGGATACTCCTTCTGCACGTCGTCTTGATTTCAAACAGGTTGGAGCCTGGCTCCCTTACCCTTTGGACTGATTCACCTGCACGTCGTCTTGATTTCAATTTATCAACCAGCAGGTTAATTTTAAATTACTAAGCACAAAATCGCCATCAGAAAGTGGCGCCATCTGTCATGAATTTCGAAAAGGGTATTGAATAATTATGGTAAAGGTATGCAGAAAAAATTTCAACAGAACAGATTTAACAGATGGAGTCACTTACAGATAGCAGTAATTTATTCAATTCTGATGAGATGCCAATCTCAAGATGGGAAACAAATCTTTTCAGATACACGTATGTTTTGAGTATAGATTTTCAAAAAAAAATATTGATACTGCTATTATATGCCGAGTTTCACTTTTTTTTCTCAAGTAAAGAGATATGCTTCTCCTTACCTGAATAAATAACTACGTCTGGTGTGGTCAGGAAAAATGATTACATTGTTATTAAGCACAACCTCGTGGTACATAAGAAGCGTCACTTATCGTGAATTTAAGACATTTCTTTGATTAAAACGTAAGAATGTTTTTGTTTCAATAGTACCTCAAAGTTGTCAAGCACCTATCTGTGCTTGTGACGACGAGGCAGTGCATCCTTGAACAAAGTGCCAAGCTGGACATCGATTTCGAAGCTGCCTGTGGACCAGAGCCGGCGATTGCTACACCACTGGGAGATCATTTTGTCGCATGGTTGGCACAAGCCAATCGCGCCTACAGTAACTCCACCGTAGACAGACCTAGATCCATGACTAGATCCAATGGCCGAACCTGAAGGTTCCCTTCAAGCTCTACCACTAACCGACTAACGTCTCTGAACCCGATGATGAGAACTACCTCTGGAGAAATACGAGCGTTCAAAGCCCCCAGCCACCAGTGCATTGGCAAAGCCCACGTGGCAAAGTCAAAGTCCACGTGGACTATACCTTCGGTCAGCTGGGTCGGTGTACCTCCAGATATATTCAATTCCGTGTAGACTGAAACGTCGATGAGGGCCGGCTAGTTGGTCTTTCGGTGCGGTTCAAACCAAGGTGGTAACAAATTTTTTGGTGATGGCCCTGACAAGAGTCAGTGGGTAACTGCTGCAGAAAACCTGAAAGCTCTGATGATATATCTGGCTGGACACGACCCTACCTGTTTTATTGAAATGCCTTCAGAACAGCATTTGTTTTCGAATCTTATTGGAATTTTTTTTTGGTTTTATCACTTCTCAGGACTCACATATCAAGAATCACCAGCTGGAGACTCCCTTTATAATTGCTGCCCTACTGAAGTACCAACAATCAGGTCTGATAACTTGTATATTTGTATTGCCAATCAATGCACTGTATTTCCGCTTTACAATAATATATGGCGT